TGTTACATTTCCATTTCTGGTATACTAAAGGATATACAAGACCAATAAAAAGTTGTGGGACTAGGTGTCCTGCACTAGAGTTGTTTATAACATTTACTTTTATAAATAATTTCCTTAACAGCCTCTTTAAAAAATAAAAATTGCCTTGCCTACAACAAGATCATCTTGGTAGCCTCTATATACATCACTTGCTGATTTGCAGAATATATTGGCAACCTTTTAAATGTTACTGATATACTTTTATACAGTATGCTTGATAACCTCTTCAAAAACTACACAATAAAAAGATTTTAACGTGTTGTCACCAGTTAATTTGATATTCTCAAATTAACAAAAGAAATTATTTATTATTTTTAATTAATTAATTCAGGACAGTATTTAATTAAAGGGTTCTCAAATATTTCAATATTGAAATATTATTATATTTGTATTTTAAACATAAGAGATATTATTTATTTATTTGATCTTGAGAAAACTGATGAACTTCTCTTATTTATGCATCTAATTGAAATATAAAATTATAAATAATGAAAATTGCCCGAAAATTAAATTCGGTAATGGCTTTTTAAAGATCAATGATATACAGTGTGAAGTAACTGGACCAGATGTACCATTCCACTGGCTAAGTGCCCATGTAATTAATTAATTTGGTGGCTAGGACTGTGAATGACCTACCAACAATGATGCAGGGACCAAAACAAACAATTGATGAATATTTATACAATTTATTATTATTTTATTATAATTTGTTATTTATTTTATTTTATTATTTATCTTTTAATCTTTGGTCATTTATATTTTATATAGTTAGAGAATTAAAATTTGTGAAATGTAGTATATAATACCCTTTCTATAATGAACTTTTGGGATTTATGCTATTTTTTGTGCCTTTGTTCACTATATGGAGAGATTTTTATTATAGAAATATATTAATAATAATGAAATAATGGAAAGAGAAATTGATTTTACTTAGTGCTCGTTATAGATAGTGAATTTTGACGCATATTTATTGATAAAGTGGCAGCAAGAGAAAGAATATCTTTGATAAATTTACTATTTAATTATTTTTTGAACCATATATATTCTTTACGTAAATCCCTTTAAATTATTCAATGCTTCGTTCAAATACATCATTTATTTATTTAATAATGGTGATAAAATTTTCGCGTCATAGTCGTACTAATTTAAACATTTGGTGTAACTTTATAATAATCTCAAACCTTTTTAATAACATCAAAATTATTTCATACACACACACACACATTTCTTTTTTCTCACATATAAATATTGTCATTGTTCTTTAATAAGCGGAATTTAACGCGTTAAAAGTTTTGAAAAAAAAATATTTATTCTCATTTTTTTTTACTTTTAAATTATTAAGTATCCTTTTTTTTCCATAACATCATCAAAATGATGAGCATTTCTAGTATTTTAAACATTACATCTGATAGAAATGACAATGGAAGTAACACCAACATAAGTAATGTTAGTAATATTAGTAGTAACGACAATCTTAGTTATGGTAATGGCAACCTTGGCAATACCGAGATCTATAGTAGTGCTATTGTTGATAGTAGTGAAAATAGTAGTAGCAACAGTATTAATGATATCTGCAACAGTAGCATGATTAGTTTTAGCAATATCAATGTTTCAAATGATATGATTGACTTCAATAGTACTGGTATTATTAATAAACATAGTAACAATAATGATGATTATGATTATAATTACAACAATGACATGGCAATCAATAATGATGAAGTAGATGAATTGGTGTTTTCAGATGATGATCCAGAATATTTAATGGAGATTGATGCATTAATCAGACGTAAAGATGGAAAAATCCCATTCCTCGACACAGCCTTCAATCTTATATTTAAAAAAACAGGAAATAAACCCGCAATCATTCGAATTGATAATAGCAATAATCCATTAACACCATCCTCACCATCACCAAATAATAAAAATAATAACAATAACAATAACAATAACAATAACAATAACAATAATGGCATTAAATACACGGCAGAAGACATCTTTTATGGATCTGATCTTACAGATATTGAAGAATCTCCTAAAAAATTAACAGAAAGAATAAGATCAAATCCTAATGATGTTAAAGATGATGGTGATGATAATAGTGATTATCAAGTGCAAAAAAAACAAACTTATAAAACCTATAAGAAAGGCAAACTTGATGAACCGGCACCATCATTATCAATAAAAAAACAAAAGAGAAAATATATAAAAAAAAAATCTAATTCCACCACTATCAATGACATTGACATTATTGCTACTACTGCTGTTACAACTACATCAACATCTCTTCCC